TATACTGGGTCGGCCCTCTCAAAGGTCGTGGCTTCTCAAACTCGAACTTGTCTTTGATTTCCATCAAAATTGCGTAACAATCCTTGTTTTACTCGTACTGTGGCTCGTACGTCTTGGCTTTCTTCGACTTGGTCTGTTGGCAATCAGCCACCAAGACTTCTTTTCTTTTGTTGTTTCCTTTTTTTTTTTCCTTTTTGCCTGCTAAGTCTTGCTGAGTAAGTGGTTTCTTCTCGGCGCCCTTGGTCGGCTCTTCTGACTTTGTTAGATAACAGAAGTCAGCTGCCTCAATATATGATTCGGCCTCCAGCAAAACATCTGCGTATGTCCGAATCTTTTTTCTGATCAAATCAAACTTGAAGCCATTGTGCCTTAGACCTCGAAGAAATTCCGAGTAAGCCATTTCATCCGGTAGATTCTAAATTTGTGCTTTTTCCCGGTTGAACCTCTGAATGTACGAGCGCAACCCCTCTTTCTTTCCTTGGACGATGGTCTCCAAGTTAAGACTAGTCTTCCGGGGTGGAATATTACAGGAGAAGTTTCCAACGAACAACAAGCTGAGAGTTGTAAAGCAATTTATGCATCCGGCCGGCAAACTATTGAACCAGTCTTGAGCCACACCCTTGAAAGTGGCCGGGAAGCATTTACACCAGGTGGCATCATCCACACTTTGCAAGTACATCAAATTTCTGTACGAGGTTCTTGAGAAAACGGAGAGTTGAGAATTTCTTGAGAAAACGGAGGCAGCTTGTCACCAAGATTTAATAAGTGCATTTGCAAAACTATAGGCTGAGGTTGGGCGGCCAGTCCGGCCAGGTAAGCTGTCAAGTCGTACGGCTGGCCGTACTGCCCATATACAGGGGGAGTAGGCAGCAAAACTACACCATAGTTATGGGGCGTTTGAAACTGAAGGGGTTAAGTTAAAGGAACTGGAGTTAGAGTACGGTGAGCTTAACTCCTACTGGTCCTGGTCGAGGTGGTATGCTTGGAGAGGGTGTGGTTGGAGAAATCATCCGGCATGGTGGGAGTGGAGGCAGTGTCCGAGTAGTAGGATTGTGCTCGCTCCTACTGCTTCTGCCGGAGATAGTCTCTAGCATCCTTCCAGCGTTGGGACGGCTCATTTGGCAGCCTCAGAGGCTGCTTGGACTGCTCCCCAGCCGACTGCGTTTTCCCAAGTAGCCTGGACCGATTCATCCGACGTACCCTTGGGGACTTCTGATCTCTTCTGAACGGGATATTCCCTGCATCTTCAGTGTTGGCCGTCTTGTTTTAGGGTTTCATCCTGATGCCCTCTTCTTCTCTTCTAGACGGTTGTCAAGAAGAAGAAGGTATCTTACCCTCAAGCTCTTTCCGAAGCTTGTTAAAGGCGGCCTGTAAGGAGCCGGCCATTACTTGGGGGGTCCACGGCCTCATGGAATGAGACAGTCAGAGGACTAGTTGTGTTGATTGTAGCAACTATGTTTTCTACATAGTCGTCCTGACCTGGACCGAGTGTCTGACCATCTTTAGCCATTTCAGACGTGTATCCCCACAGACGGCGCCAAATGTTTCCGGGTTTTTTGGAATCCCTCGGGTTACAGGACTTGAATATAGTCGGACGGTTGCGGACATCTGCAAAACAACAAATATTCCATTGGACAGAATATTCGCCTCCGACGATCAAGTTAGTGATCAGAAAATGAAGTAATTTTAGAGAGAGAAAGTAGAGAGAAGTTGGAGCAATTTAATACTCTTGAATGATATGTCACTATCCACCCCTCCCATCATAAATGATTGGGATATTTATAGGGATGGGAGTGTGTACCATCTAGGGTTTGGTGACTAAGAATGGTGTGCTCTGATTGGCGACGCTATCAGGTAAGGACAAGTGTCCTTTGGGGGCGCCGTTTTAGCGCCTTTCTCGGTATTTAGGCCTCCTGATGTAAGGAGGTCTTTCTCTCATTCAGGTGCTCTCTTGTTTTCCACTTGTCATCTTCCTATTGGGACACATGTCGCCCTGTTATTGGGCCACATGTCTCTATAGGATTAGACCACGTGTCAGGGGTATTTTTACCCTAAACACACACCTCCTAAGAGGGAGACTCACACCCGATACACCACCCATGTGGATATCCAATACCCAGCCGCCTTTTATTCGCTAATCTAATAACATTTGTTTAATAATTTTCCTATAGAACATGTCATTATGCTATCTCCAAATTGTTGCAAATACATAATTTAATAATATATTATACAAGTAAGAAGTCAATTGGTATAAAAGTAGGCCTTCATCATTACAAATACAAAAAGAATGTGACCGGGGTTCAATCCTCACCCCACCCCTCCTGTGATAGGAGGGGCACACCGTATCTTACCGTAAAAAAAATAAAAAATAAAAAATAAAACCCATTACAAATACAAAAGAATTACATAAAAAATTTAGTGATAGTAATAAGTTGGCAGGTGACTGTGCAGGTAGGCAAGTAATAGACGGGTATGACATCAAATCCACCGCTTACCCGCTACCCACAGTGGGTTTGACTTTTGTACTCATACCCGCCTACTTACCCGCCAAAGTTGGATCATACCTGCTCCAACTGGGACGAGTGCAGTGCGGGACTCGCATTTTTATACCTACCTACCATCCATAATTTTAAGTTTATAAATAAATTAATTGGTAAATTAATAGTAGAATAATTATGTCAATGCCAGTGTTACATCATGCTATGATATTTTTAATTTTTTAGGAGCTATATATGTTAGAGCGTAACTTTTGATTTCTACTTCATCATTATTATTAAAAGTTTTCTTTGTTAAGTAAATTATACATATGAACTTATTATACCGTGAAATTGCACAGGCACTATACTAGTTTATAACTAAAATATATTCAAATAAATTTATACTTCCTTTCTTTCTTAATATTTGCATCAATTGATTATACAAGTTTATCAATGCAATACTTTGACCATTAATATCTTTAATTATGCTTTATTAAAAATTATAGAAAAATCTATATGAAAATATAAATTGAGATTAACTCCCTTTCATAAATTAAATTCTCTTTCATAATAAGTTAAGATAAGATAAGATAAGATAAGCTCAAATAAGTAAAATCAGGTGAATAAAACACACTTTTAACAGCTCGTTTTGTGTGCTCTGGCCACACCGTGTGGCCACTTGTAAAAAAACAAAATAACCCCTATAACACTGACCGAGTAACCCCTGTAATACTAGTTGAGTAACCCCTATAAGTTATAACACTGACCGGGTAACCCCTAAAACACTGACGAAGTAACCCTTGTAACACTGACTAAGTAAGCCCTATAACACTAACAAAGTAACCCCTATGATAGCTTGCCACACGATGTGGCTAGGCACATATAAGAATTTGTGCACTTTTAATATTAAGATTACTAATCAATAGATCATTAAGTAATGTTGAATAATTTCTCAAAAAAAAAAAAGTAATCAATAGCTATATACTAAAGGCGAAACCAGAAATGACACTTGTCATTTTCTGGTGAAAAGTTTTTCCGCCTTTTTTTTCCTTTTTTCTTTATTTAATTTTTGCCAAATTTTAATGACATCCGTTTTATAACCTACAGTAATACTTACTTCCATTTTAACAATGTTTTTAATCCAATTATACTTAATTAATTATTTTTTACATATATTCTACCGTATATACTAGGAAACTCTTAGTTACAAAAATACTAACATAGATTAAAAATAATGTATTGTAATATATTATTATCCAATATTATTATAATATTATCAAATTTTTTTCTCCAACCTTTATCATTTGACAATTAAATTTGTATTAATTAAAAAAGAAAAATCATTTTGGTAGCATACTTTGTTTAAATCATAAAATTATACTTAACTTTTATAAGAACAACCGAACAAAATCATTTTGTTATAGTATACATAACATATATTGGAAAATTCAATCTAATTACTTTAAACATGTGATTATTAAATTTGTATATGGGTACTAACCTAAGCTAATATTTTCATTCTCTTAAATAAAACGTTATAGCATCTAATTCTATTACTATTTTATACAATCCAATTCAATAACCTTTACGTATTTGGTATTAGTGTAAATTAAAATTCATGTTATTTTGTTACAAATATTATTTTTGGATAAATTATTGTTGAATTAACACCATGAAGCGCACCCTTACTGCAGTTTGGAGAGTGAAAGATAATATTCGTATTCGTATGATTGAATCGAACCTGTTTGTGTTACAATTTGTGAATGAGAGCGATAAGGATCGAGTAATTAGCGGAAGCCCGTGGTTTTTTGACAATAAGTTAGTAGTCCCAAGGAAGTCAAAGGAGAAGAACAGCCGTCTGAGGTTTCTTGTACACATACCCCGTTCTAGATTAAACTTGAAGATGTTCCCTTCAATAAAAGGAACGCTTCTGTGGCGAGTGACATTGGTGAGGCGATGGGTGGATTTCTAGAATATGATGATCCCGATCCCCTGGGCATGGAGAAAGAGATGTGAATTAAAGTATTTCTTGACATTGAGAAGCCTCTACGAAGGGGTTTCAAACTTGCCACTGGTCCTAAATCTTCGAAGTGGGTTGGAGTAAAATACGAACGACTTGAAGATTTCTGTTTCTATTGTGGTCGACTTGACCATGTTGAGAGGGAATGTAATCACTCGACCCTTAATGCTGAAGGGGAAGAATATGTTTACCAGTATAATCCTTTTCTCAGGGGTTCTCCTAAGAAGAGAGTTAAGGTTGTTGCAGGGCAGAGGGAAATTGAAAAGAAGCTTCTGTCAAAACTGAAGTCAGCTAGTTCTGCTAAGCGACCTAGTTATGATGATCCTTCTGCCATCAAGTTAGGACCCCCAAGTGCTGCTAAACACCTAATTTTTTAGCAGGTTGACCAAGAAACTACCCAAAGCCTACAGGAGGATAGTAGGACTTTAAATTTTATAAAAAAAATCAAGGGAGTTGGAGGCTGAGAGGAGGGTATTGTTGTAGTGCATTCGAATGACACAGTCATGGAAGATAGAGTGGGCGTCGGTTCAAAAGGGGGGTGGAAACGGAAAGAAAGAAAGGGTAGTGGTTTGCTAAATGATGAATCAGAGTTAACTCTTTTGCTTAATGAATCAGTTAAGAGAGGAAGCTCCTTTTTTATGACTGATGATGCGAAGTTTTGTTATGTGAAGAAGGCTAGAAGTGATGTGACTAATGGTGGAAACTTTACTCAAGTAACGGGGCTTGGTAACAACCAACCTCGTGAACAACAATGAAACTCCTTTGTTGGAACTTTCGAGGGGCTGGCAACCCTCGAACAGTTTGTGCACTCCCGCTATTGGAGTCGCACTCTAAACCCTGACATCATATTCTTGTCAGAAACGATGATAGATAAAAAAAAGATCGAAATATTTAAAAAAATAAATTTGACTTCCCAATGGCGGCTGGAGTAGATAGTAGAGGGAAGTCTGGTGGATTGTGCTTGTTCTAGAAGGAGGGAATCAAGTTCTCTCTGGTGTCTTATTCTGATCATCACATCTGTGGTGATATTACTGATTTTGGTGGTCGTGTATGGCGTTTCGTTGGGATGTACGGATGGGCTGATAAGGCGTTGAAGGAGAACACTTGGACACTTATGAAAGATCTCTATTTAGACTCCCCCGTTCCTGTTGTTTTCAAAGGAGATTTTAATCAAATCCTCAGCTCGGATGAAAAATCTGGTGGAGCTCCTAGGGAGCAGAAGGAAATCGATGCCTTAAGGAGTGTGCTTGATGATTGTAGTCTGAAGGATTTGGGGCATATTGGAGAGTGGGAAACATGGGAAAGGGGTACAACTCCGGAGTCAATTGTTCGGGAGAGGCTAGACAAATTCATAGCGTGTATGGCGTGGTCTTCTTGGTTCAGGAATGCAAAGGTTAAACATTTAACCAAATTCAAATGTGACCATGTTGTGATTATTCTTGATACCGAAGGTGATGCGGGTAACAGGAAGACTTCATATAAGAAAAAACATTTCAAATTCGAGACTTGTTGGTTGCTCAACGAAGGAGTTGAAGCTGTGATTAGAAATGCGTGGGAAGGGGGCTTCCCATTTGGATATGGCTCTCAAGATTAAATCAGTGGCTACTCACTTAACTGACTGGAGTAAGTCCACTTTTGATAATCTCGGCCGAAAGATCGAAGATGCTGAAGCTGCTCTTAAAGAGGTGGAAAATAATAGGGGTGCCCTCCCGAACTTTGCTGAGTGCACTGGACTGGAATCTCTTCTTGATGATCTTCACGAGAAAAACGAGGCTTATTACTTACGATCCCGTGTTGCCGAAATAAAAGACGGTGATTGTAATACCAAATATTTTCAGCATAAGGCGTCCCAGAGAAAGAGCAAAAATTTTATATTGGGCCTAAATGATGAGGGAGGAACGTGGAGAACGGGAAAGAAGGAAATCGAAGAGATCATTCTCAAGTTCTACGGCACATTATTTTCGGCTGGAACAATTGATGATAATCTGATGCAGGAAGTTTTGGATAGTGTACCAGCCTTGATTTCTGAAGGTATGAACACTTCTTTATGTCATAGATTTCCCAAAGATGAAGTTTTTGCTGCCTTATCGCAAATGAGCCCCTGTAAAGCCCCCGGGCCGGATGGTTTTCATGCCATCTTCTATCAAAAGTTTTGGCAAGTGGTAGGTGATGATATTACAAATTTTGTGAATAATATTGTAAGTGGCAGGATTTCACCTAAGGAGATTAATTGCACTAATGTGGCTCTTACTCCTAAGGTTAAGGATCCTACTAGCATAACTCAATTCCGGCCTATTTCTCTTTGTAACGTTCTCTTTAAAGTAGCATCTAAGGCCATGGCAAACAGATTAAAACCGCTCCTTTAAAATATTGTCACGGAAAACCAAAGTGCTTTTGTGCCTAAATGGTTAATAACGGACAATGCCCTCATTGCTCTTGAGCTCTTTCACACTATGAAGAAAAGATCAAAAAGTCAGCGGGCTACTATAGCTAGAGGGAGCCCCAGTTAATCTCCGAGATTAACACTCCAAGTTAATCTCCTCTCACAATTTTATGCATTTGTTTTCGTGCCACTTTACTATTTCACTTTTATTATTTTAAAAATAAAAGTAAAACAATATATTGTGAGAGGAGATTAACTTTTCATGTCAATCTCAGAGATTAACTTGAATTCTCTCCTATAGCTATAAAGCTTGATATGAGGAAGGCTTATGACCATGTAGAGTAGGAATTCCTTCGACGACTTTTGACTAAATTGGGATTTGCAGGTGCATGGGTTGATACGATCATGGTATTTGTTTCTTCGGTCAAATATTCATTCATAATAAATGGAGAACGGTCTGAGTTTCTTGTTCCTTCTCGAGGGTTGCGCCAAGGTGATCCCATATCCCCATATCTTTTTATCCTTGTTGCCGATGTTTTGTCTAGAATTCTACAATTGGCTTCGGATAGAAAACAGATTCATGGGGCTCAAGCTAGCAGAAATGGCCAGGAGATTACTCATTTTTTTTTTTGCAGATGACAGTCTCTTGTTTACTAGAGCCACCCGACAGGAATGTTCAGTCATTGTTGATATCCTCAACAAATATGAAGCAACATCCAAGCAAAAAATTAATTTGGAATAGTCGGAGGTTTCTTTTAGTAAGGGGGTCCCTCTTCCGTCGAGAATCACTCTTAGCTCTGTCCTTGGGATGGAAATGGTCGATGGTCATGCAAAATACTTAGGTCTTCCTCCCGAGGTGGGAAGATAAAAAAAAGCTTTCTTTGCCTTTGTGAAAGATAGAATCTGGAAGAAGATTCAAGGGTGGAAGGAGAAGCTCCTTTTTTGAGCCGGAAAGGAAGTGTTGCTTAAATCTGTTATCCAAGCAATCCCTACCTATCTTATGGGGGTCTACAAATTTCCCATGTCCCTTATTCATGAAATTCACTTGATGATGGCGCGATTTTGGTGGGGTTCAAATGATATGGAAAGAAAAATCCATTGAAAGAGTTGGGAGTATATTTGTCAACTAAAATTCTTAGGTGGCATGGGATTCCGGAATCTAGGAGTCTTTAATGATGCCCTTCTTGGGAAACAAGTATGGAGACTAGTGCATAATGAAAACTCTCTGATAAGGAGGATTTTTTAGGCAAAATATTTCCCTCACTCTTCTGTTTTGGATGCCGCTCTAGGCCCGGTGCCAAGCTTCTCTTAGCGTAGCATCTGGTCTGCCAAAGCTTTGGTGTTGGAAGGGATTGTGCGGAGAGTTGGAGATGGGAAAAGGATTAAAATCTGGGAAGATCCCTGGCTTTTGATGAGGGTAACAGATTTGTGACGAGTGATAAGCCTGATGAGGATTGCAACATGGTGGCTGATCTGATTGATTGTCAAGGGAAATGCTGGGATCTTGACAAAGTAGATCGAATTTTTAATGAACGAGACAAGAAGTTGCTGCTTTCTATCCCTATTAGTGAGCGACTTCCCGCAGACTCAGTAGCGTGGGCATGGTCAAAAGATGGTGATTATGTTGTAAACTCAGCTTATCACTTGGGATCGTCTTGTATTCTGGAAAATTGTGATCAATGCTGGTTGGAAATTTGGAAAGCGAAAGTCACTCCCAAGGTCAGGCTTTTTCTATGGAAATGTTGCACAAGCTCTTTCCCCACAAAAGGCATCTTGGCGTACAGGGACTTAATTGATGATCCCAAGTGTCCCTGGTGTGGCTTGGAGGAATCCACCAAGTGTGAGCAATCTGTGGAGACGAAGCGGATGCGAAGAAGCATTGAAATATGGCAACCTGGGGTCCTTTGCAAAGATTATTGCGACCTGGTCGAAGGATCTTAATGAAGAGATTTATCAGCGTAGTCTCTTCCTGGCATGGTTTGTGTGGTCTCGCCGCAACAAATGGATCTTTGAGTCCATGAGTGAATTGAACCTGATGATATAGTGCTTGACAGGTTACGAAGGTTGGTGGCTGATTTTGGGGAATACTCAGAGAAGATTTATGGTTTGCCAAAGCTCAAGCCCGCTTCTACCAGAGTACTTTGGTCTCCACCATCAGGAAATGCCATCAAAATTAATGTTGATGCGTCTTTGAAGGATGAGGGATGGATAGGCCTAGGGGTCGTGGCTAGGGACAGATCAGGTCAAGTGCTTTTTGCTGCAGTGCGGAGACTGAGAGCTCGTTGGGACATTCTGGTGGCTGAATGCAGGGCAGCTCTTTTTGGTTTGAAGAAGGCAAAAGAACATGGATATGATAGTGTGATCATCGAAACCGATTCTCAGATTTTGTTCTCAAGACTGACCAAGTTCTCCTTTGCTTTATCTGCTGTTGACAGTGTGTTAGAAGACCTTGTTGCTTCTATTAGTTGTTTTTCTTTTATTAGTTGGTCTCATGTCAAAAGAGATGGGAAGTTTGTAGCCCATCATCTTACTAGGTTAGTGTCGTTTGGTGTTGAACAATATTAGGAAAATCACGCTCCTAGCAAGATTGCCCCATATGTATTGTTGGATTCTATTTCTTCTTAATAAATGCACTAACCCCTTTTCAAAAAAAAAAATATAAATAAGAAAAAGGATAAACATTAATTAATATGCTTTTTATTTTTGTAGAATTGTAGTTATATACGAATATACGATATACCAAATACAAGCATAATAACTCATATTTGAACAAAGAGAAAAAATGTGATTATCGAATCAACAACTCCTCTAAGATTTTACAAACTACAGTAAACTATTATAAGCTCACATCTATTCAAAATAAAAATCGTTATTATGCAATTATGATGTCGTAAAGGAAAACTAGACCCAATAACGTATTAATGGATTAAAGTGGCAATTAGCTCGTGAGCAACTTAGATTCGACTCGGTCAAAGCTCGGTCAAAACTCGGCTCGAGTTGGCTCGACTCGAATTCGAGTCGACTTAAGATGTTAACGAGCACGAGTTGAGCAGGCTCTAACTCGACTCGATAAGCTCATGAGCAACTCAATATTATATTTTTTTTAATATAGAATTTACAAACAAAGTTATTACTATATGAACAAATTTGACACTTAATAAGAGTTAAAAAAAAAAAATCTTTAATAATAAATAAAATAATTAAAAGAAAACTATATAAAGTGAACAACAATAATAAAGGTGTATAATTTTAGAAAGACCAAAATTTCAACGAGTAAATCGTGAGCTACTCGACTCGACTCGAAAATTTAACGAGCACGAGTCGAGCAGATTTTATTGGCCCGAAACATTAACGAGCACGAGTTGAGCACATAAAAAAAGTTTTCGAGCCGAATCGAGCACCTTTTAGCTCGTGTGATCGAGTCACTCGGTTAGGACCATAGTTACGTCATAAGCTTAAACAACATAGGAAGGAAAATTCAACTTGACTTTAGCAACTTATGTAACTTTATACATATATAGTTAAATAAGTCATGCTTCATGATTCATAATTCATAATTCATAATTCATTTACCATAACACAATTTAATTAATTTAATTAGTGATTTATTCATACAAAAATTGAAAAATGTATTTCTAAGAAAATTGGGTACGGTACAAGAAAAGGACGGCATACGGAGATAAACGTACATGCTAACGTAATAAAATAGGATTAATAAATGGATCATCATAATCTTATTATACAATGAATTAATCAATGATTGAGGTGTGACTAATTAGATATAGCGTAATTTCATCATCATTAACGTCACACTAATCATCTTTGCTGTAATGTGTCTGTTTTTTTTTTTTTTTTTACTTAGAAGAAGGGTATTATGTTGCCAGATGGAGAAAGGAAAGAAAATTCTAAAGCTTACTTCATCATTGTGGCCAACTTAATCAAAAGCAATTGTAATAGATAAGTAATTAAATTGGGTGATTAATTAGACTATAACTAGCCTTCTGGTCCGTGTAATGTACGGGATGTTTATAAGGTGTACAATATTAATTTTTATTTTATAATATGTTTTAATTGGAAAATAAATAGTTTATAAAGGAGAAGAAGGGTGAAAATTAAATGTAATTGTAGAAGATATTAAGTTGGGGGAAAATATATCAAATAACATTCATACACGTATTGAATTAAAGTTAGTTTTTTTTTTTTTAAATATAAGAAAGGGGATTAATTAATGAAGGGAGGTGACATGTGAAAATAAAGTTTACATGTAGCATGATAGGGATGATGGTTTACGTTTTTAAATACTAAGTATAGATTAGTGCCACTATCAAATTGTTTGCCTGTTAACCACAGATTTTGATTTCGTGGAAATTATGGCTAGCTATTATTATTTGGGTGGTATCATCACTATCATGGTATGTATGTAATGGATAGCAACATCTTTTTGATTGCTCTTTTATAATAAAATAAATTAAGTTACAGTGATTTCATAAAATGTTGGATGGCTGTCGAAAATAATAACTAGACTTGTGTTAGTGAAGTTTTGTTCTTTTGGTATGTACAAATTTGATACTCCTACTCCATATTAAACATTAGTTTTAAACCTTTAGTCCTGAAATCATTAAGGTACATGAGATGTCAGTCGACATTTTATTACACTCTACTGTATTAAAATAGAAACTATATTATACGAAGTTTTTTTTTCCTCTCCCTTTTTATTCTTCTTAGAAAGAAAATTCTTGTTTTATCTCTTACAAAATGCAAATATGCTTAGGGTGAGTTTATTACAAGTCTTGAACAAGACTCAACTTGCTCAAGATTTTTGCAATAAAGTCATCAAAGACTCATACAAGTCTTGCATTGAGTTTAGAAAACCAAAACTCATGTCAAAACTTTACATGGAGAACAAATGCTGCAATATTTGGTTGGTTGTCAATCAAAACTTGTCAAATGAGTCTAAAGTGAGTCTTGGGATAATGTGTGAAT